CTAGATTGAAGAACAAAAGGACAGCAACTTGTCTGTTCCCCTTCCCCCAATTCCCCAGCACTGTTCCCATCCCCCCAATTCCCCAATAAAAATATATTAAAAAAAAATAACAAGTATCATGTTAACACTTACCAAAAAATGTAATACAGGAATTATTTCATAAACTTTGTTAATATTTATTATATCGTGTTTCTGCCAGTGGCAGAGAATTTTTTCCTGGTTTTTCTCTTCTCATTTTTCTCCTTCATGAAAAGTCAGTCCTTGAAATGAGCTTCCAGCTACCCAGATTTGGGATCTGCCTCCATTTTCTGTTCCCCTGGGCTCAGGTATCCCTAGAAAATAGGTATCCTTAGAAAATAGGTTTACCCTCTACAAGAATCTGCTTTTTGTGATACCCATAAATCCTGTCTTATTTTTCCTGTACCAGTTAATCATTTACTAAGAGTCTCCAATGTACTATGCTAGAGACAAAAAATATACAGATAAATAAATATATCCTGTCTTTGATTGGCTCACAGTCTAATAGGTGAGACAGAAACACACATGAATAATTACAATGTAATGTAATAAATGTTGTAAAAGCAGGCTGTTGATTACAGAAAAAAGAATGACTAATTCTGCCTGGGCAATTACAAAAAAGGCTTCTTGGGAATGGAATCAATGGAATTGTAATAGATAAGCATGATATCGGGGGTGGGAGGGCAATACATGGGGGGAGGGGAGTTGTTACTCTGTGAGGGTGAAAAGGATAACTATCGCATTGTTCTGTACACCTGAAACTAACAACAACAACAACAACAAAAAAAAAAATAAATAAATAAATAAATAAAAGGCTTCTTGAAGGTGGTAAAATATGCTCTGGGTTTTAAACAGGTATTGAACAGGTATCCAGGCCACATGGATCATATGTAGGTATGAAGATATGAAAAGCCATGGAGTGTTTGGTAGAACTGATAGAACTAGGTGACCAATTGGGTATGAGAAGTTGAGAGAAAGGAGAGAACTGAAAACGTTTCTAAGATTCCATTCATCTATTCAACAGTTTCACACCTACTCTGTTACAAGGAAGTAACTGGATGATATTTTATTGAGAGAAAAAGGAAATGGAAGGGGGGAAGCAGATTTGGACAATGAGCCCAAATGAGAACATGCTGAGCTCGAGCTGCCTGTATAACCTCCAGGTGTACTGGTCTAGTACGCCCCCATAAATATGGGTCTGAGAGGAAGAGTGGGGTCCAGGCTGACGGTGAAAAGGTGGGAGCCATCAGCAAATGAAGAGCTGAGCAGGACCAGATACATAATTTGCGAGGCCTGGTGAAAAATAAAAACGTGGGCCTCCTTGTGCAAAAAGCAGGCAAAAGTTGCCATTAAAGTTATGAAATATACTAAGTTACTAAAATACAAAGCGTGTTCCTTTCTTCCACAGCCTCTCTGCATGTCATGGTGGTTTTTATTTGCTATGCACTGTTGTTATAAATACACAAAAATTTAAAATTTTTGGCATGAATTTTACCATTCATCTTTATGGTATGCAATGCCAGATCTAAATGTAAATATCAGAACATTTCACTTGTATGTAGAATTACCGAAATTATGCAATTCATATTTCATGATTTGCCCCTGGAGGGGATGTCAAGCTGGTCCAAAGAAATGAATACAAGACAGACTAGGGAAATTAGACAGAGGAAGAAAGGTGTCCCTAGGCACAGCATGGACCCAAAGAATCTGGGGACACTTGCAGGGTGAGTTCAGAGCCTGGAACTGCCAAGGTCTGCGTGCCCTTGGACCCGATGGCTGCCATGTTCCCCCTCCCACCAGCCCCAGATCAATGCTTCACACCTCAACAGGGAGCTGGGAAGTCAAGTCAGCCATTTCCCCTTTCCATGGGGCCTGCTGTCCCAACCCACGGCAGATGGGTGACCCCAAGGGTATTGCAACCTCTGTGCCAGGTTGCACTGGGTATTTGAATCAAGGGTGGACAGAGGCTTGCCCCAGGCAACTTGCCCACTGAATGGGATGCAGTGGTGCCAGCCTGGGGTAGGGACAGCTGCCACTGCCAGGACTTGCCCGGAGATGCCACTGGTTGTGACCCCACCCTTCATCGCACCTGCACTCAGATCTCTTCCAGGGCGGAGAGCAGCAACAGTTTGGGAGGTGGGGTTTAGAGGGAGAGCAGGCAGGACCCAGGGCACAAGGGACAAGGGTCTGGGAGCAGGTCACAAGAACCCTTCCCAGGGAGGCAGGGGAGGAGAGATTGCACTTAAAATGATATGCCAAGCCTCCAGCCCAAGCTCCTGTTGCCCAACAGATTTCACTCATGAAACACACATTCAAAGATATTATAAGAAATTCATCTACAGGGTGTTAAAGCCCAAGTGTGGAGCCCTCCCAAGTGTGGGGGCCTGTGCAGCTGCACTGGTTGCAAACCCAGGGAGCCTGCCATAGACCTATGACATTGCCCATGAAATTGAGAAAAACAGAAGAGGACCGTGGAGAAAGACAAGGGAACCTGAGAGAGGTAGGTGGGGAAGAAAACATAAGCGTGAAAAACAAGGTAGAGAGAAACAGGCAAAAGAGAGAGAGAGAGAGAGAAAGGTAGGCCCAGAAGCCAGGGGCAGCAGGGGATCTTGATTCTAATGGGAGGTCTACAGATATGTTCACTTGCCCCACAAGCATTTTAACAATCTGAGCCAACATTTAAAAATTGGAAACAGTCTCCCTAAAACTAAGCTTTTGTCTAAAGTTAAAAGATTTAACAATGCTGTGTGTATATTCCCTCCATGGCCAAAATCAAACCAGAGAGGGGCAGTGGCTGCTCTCCTAGGAGGGGCACGTGCCCACTGTTTGACAGGCTCTGCGTGACTCACTCGGCGTCTGCATGGGCAGCTATGGTGGGACCTGTAGATAGTAGATTGCTACGGTCTGTGAGCTCAGAAACTCGGGTCTGCACCACGGGTCCAATGCTGCAGAAAGGCCAAGAAAGAGGGGCCTTTAAAGTAGGTTATTGGGTTTGGCAAGCAGGAAAACACCAGTAACGTCTCCATAAGAATAGCCTGACTGGAACGATGGGGTGGAAGCCAGATGGCAGTGGGCTGTGAAGTGAATGGGAGGTGATGAAGTTGAGACAGCAAGGGTAGAGACTAATATTTCAAGCATCTTTTTTTTTTTTTTTGGTCATAAAGGAGGGTGATGCAAAAGTACTTTGAACCCACCCCGCTATCCCTATTCCTCCCGCCTCCTGCTTCCCACACTCTCTCTATAACTAAATATAGAAGGAAAGCAACATGACATGAAGCAAGATCTCTGTTTGAAATTTTACACTTGAGAAAAAAACACATCAAGAACAGAAGTGGAAATTGACTGGGATTTTCCATACACTGAGATACCAATCATGAGTATTTACTGCTGCCAGTATCGGTGATTTGAAATAAAATAAAATGAGGTTGTTTCAGACTAATTCAGAGCTTTCAGCTACTTTATCCTATTTTATTTTCATAGCATTTCTTTTATTGGCTTATTTATTATTTTATTTACATTAAGCTATGCTATTGTATGACAACATAGTTTTTAGGACAAGTTTCGGGGAAAATCAGTTTTGTGTATATGAACAACACAGTTGAGGCGCAACATTAAAAATCTAGAGAATGTTTTGACAGCCTTACATAGTTTTTAAATAACAGGTAAACTACTCACATCCTAAGCTGTTATGTAAAATAAGCAACTCCCCCTCACCCCTTTCCATTTTTCAATAAACTAACCTTAAAATAAATGATAACATGCGTTTCCACCTACTACATCATTGTTTGGATGTGTTACAGGTTTGTTTGTTCACACAGAAAGTAATTTAAAAGGCTGGTATTTTATCACGAACACAGTTATGTTTGGATTTAGCAGGCTCTGCATTTTATGAAAGGTCTAACTTGGTTCCTCTATTCAAAGTGGAACTTACCAGAATTGTGAGGGCTAAATGCGTTTTGCTGGGTGCTACTGGCGATTCTCTGATTTGTTAATGAATTTCTATGAGGTGAAGTAGGTCAAGTTCTGGAATCCTTGCAAAGTAATCAGATTTTAACCTTGGCTTCCGCTAGTCTGTCAAAGCACAGGAAGCCGGCTAGGTTCCTCCGTGGCCTGCTCTCAACCGACTGTATAGAGTGTGGTTTTCAGGGTTCACTGGAGGCTGGGAGATACACAGCTTTCAACACTTAATGGTGTGTGTTCAAATGGTGTGTGTGATTTTGCGACTTCAGATGGGTGTCAAGTACATAAGACAAGCTACATTTATTTTTCAAAAAACAGGAAGGGAGGAGAATTGTATAATTCTTTTATGTTTGTTTAGTGAAGTTATAGGAGGCAACTAGCTTTTATTTAATAAATTGCTAGACATCCTTAAGAAAAGCCCCTGACATAACTTTTCAGCACCATTGATCTACAACTTTAAGTACCGTTCGAAGTTATAGAAGGCAACTAGCTTTTATTTAATAAATTGCTAGATGTCCTTAAGAAAACGCCCTGAACATAACTTTCAGCACCATTAATCTACAAACTTTAAGTACCATTCTTTGGCCTCCACAATAAGCTGATGGTGTCTGCATGATGTCCAAACTTGCAAGTCAGTGAGCAAGCTTTGTACACATAATCCCAACAGTTGGCCCATCCTAGACTTGGATGAAGGTGGTATGGGGAGTTCATGGGTGAGCAGCTGGGGGTGTGGGAGGGAAGGGTTTAGTGGTAGGCAGAGGCAATGGACGCAAAACGGGCCAAGACGATGGTAATATAGTCCACTCTCACCGCCTTACTTCCTCATTATTCAACCACTCTTTGGCCACTAGAAATTTAGTTTCTGTCCCTATTACATCAGTGAAACTGATATCTGCAAGCCCGAGGGACTTTTCTTCAATCTTTATTCTCCTTAACACCTTGCAGGAGGTGACAGCCAGAACAGGGCGCCTCTCTCTTGGCTGCCTTTGGGTTTCCCTCTGGGCCCAGCTGGCAAGGAAGCCTGGGAAATGTAGTTTTCAGATACCCAGTCCTGCCCCTACGAAGTCCAATGGGGCTGTGAGGTAACAGGCAAATAACTGGACAAGGGCCCAATGCAAACACCGTGTGTTTCCTGAAGTATTTCTTGATTTCTCACTCTTCCCTGCACCTCCACCACCCTCAGCTAAAAGAAACGCCTCCCTCTTCTGAATTTTGACTAAATTTCGTGTGTCTCTTTGGCTGAATTTAAAGTATAATTATTGGGAAACCACTTCGTGCCAGGCACTGTGCTCGGCGCTGAAAATACAACTATGAGTAAGACGGACTTGGCTTCTGTTCCCTTAGAGCTTCACGG